GTAGACATCAAAGGTTGGAATTATCAAAGGTTTTTGACACCTGAGAGACACCGTAGCAACTCCTTTGCGTTTGGAAGCGGTGGGGTGGGGGTGGGGGGAGGACCAGGGAGGATGATTCAACCACTCAACCACTAGATGTCGCTGAAAACAACAAATCCTACACACTGTGCCTTTAAATAATGTTCGACTTTTGTCGCTGTCACATGGCGCTTCAACCAGTAGCAAGGGTTTCATTGACTGACCAATGAGCGGAGAGTATGCTACACTCTGCACTTAGCTACCACTTTCAACATTGTTTTAACTCTGTCAAATTTTCTAATTTTATGATAGTTCACAAAGTGATTACTAAAAAAAGCAGGCTTATAATAATTTTTATTTAAAAAGTGCCTTTCAGGACATCTAAGGACACTTACAGCAAGAGACATCATAGAATGTGTGAAAATACAGTTAGAGACAAGCAGACATAAGTTACAGAGAATTGTATACAGATGAAATTAAGAAACACTAATCTAAAGAGATGTGTTTTCAAAGCAGTCTTGAACACAGGAAGAGAGGTGGTGTTTCTCAGGTCCGATGGGAGAGAGTTCCAGAGGAGAGCTTATGGGAATTTGTTAGTGCCAGGGTAAGTTGTCCTGTAAATGTTTCCTCATGAAATCGTATCTTAGTGTGCGTTTGCTTTTCATTATCATCACCAGATTTGTTAGTTTAGACGTCCGTAATGCACACCATTGCTTTTGCGAACCACCAATAAACTTTACAAGAAGAAGTTTTGTGAAGACAAGCGACCTGAGAGCTATTCATTGCTGTCGTTTGTCGCTCCCCATGTGTCAAGCCCATTAGTGTTAGCCCCACTTTAATGTTGGCTGCGCGTTAATGTTAGCTTTGCATTAGCTCCATGTTAGCTCTGAATTTATGCAAGCTCCATGTTAGCATTAGTGTTATCTCTGTGTCAGCATTTGCTCAGTGTTAGTTTTATCTCCACAATGGTTTTAGCATTATTTTAGCATTAGCTCGGCATTAGTGTTAGCTACACATTAGCATTAATTCCATGTTAGTGTTAGCTCTGTTTTAGAATTAGTGTTAGTTCCATGTTAGAGTTAACTTCACATAAACATTAGTTTCATGTTAGCACCGTGTTAGCAATACCGCATTAGTGTTAGCTTTGCTCTGCAATGACCTGTATAATTCACTAAACCTTAATCACCAAGTGGCAAATATTAATTGATTACATTTATTCCCTGACAAGTAATTGCACACGATGCAAATTTTGCCCAACCCTAGCACCTCGAGAAATGTCTGCTGTAAAAGAAAAAAATCTCCATTTACCTCCTCCTGCTGCAAATCATGCCTCCCTGTAAATAAAATTTCCACATTTGCATTCACCCTCTGTCAGATCCTCTTACATAACGCTCCTTGTCAGTTCTGAGTTTTGTCGCCTGCAGCACATGGTCTTGATTTTATTTAATATATGCCTTTTGGATTCTACCTGCCTGATTGTCACCTGCTGCTAACACTCTTGGGTCCTCAACCAACAACCGTCATGTTACAGTATAAACAGTAATTATGAAAATAAAAGCCACATGATGGTAAATACCATCATGCTTAGTTGAAAACGTTTGCCAAAGCAGAATATGTAACTTGGCAAAAACAGCTGCATTTTAATACAGATTGTTTTGAGATTATATTACCATATTCTAAGTTTTATACTGCATATACTGAATAATTGATTGTGTTGAAGGTGTTTGGACAATTGTCTACCAACCCTGCCTTTTCAGAGATTTCACTGACGAACACAGGCTTGCATGTTTTATCAGTAATGACATTATGTATGTATGTGCGTGTGTGTCTGCTGTGCATTACCTGGTACAGATGATGGCAATAGCTACCAATGAGACGATACACACTCCGCCTACTAAAGAACCAGCAATCAAGGAGAGCTGTTGTCCAAGCTCTGATTTGTACTCATCTGCAGAGGCACACAAATGCACACTCGATTCAGCAAAGAAGGAAAAATCATTTTAAACACTATATTTCTCTTATTTTAAGGCTCTGGTATGTGCTTATATAAAAGAGAATACAAATAATACAATGAAAGTGATCTGTAACTCAAACTACATTTTGAAACACTCATTTTACGAGTGCACGCAGCACAGGGTATAGTCTAAATACATTACATCCAGATTTGCACTTTATGCATTCCCCATTGTGCACCTTCTTTTCTTTCCACTACAAAAACTCCACTCACGCCTCCGCACACTTCAGCCAAACACTCAGTCTCTTACCGTCAGTGAGAGTTTGGAAGAGCATCTCCTTGCTGTAGGATCCRTAGCCAGCCACAGTTCGGGCCCTCACCTGGACCACATAGCCAGTTCCAGGCCTGAGACCTTCAAGGACCACATTAGGTATATCGCTCTGGACCACAGAGCTGTTCAGCACTGATGATTGGAACTGCAGAGAAGGAACAAAAAAGTAGATTTCACAAAAGACTGAATAACTGAGCACTGATTCAGTCAGTGTCCAATATGAATGACGTTATTCAACCTTTTCAAAGAAAAAAAAAGCACAATGCTAAGTTGTTTCCAGTGCATGTGCCTTCTCTGTGACCTTCTTGTTTCCTTTGGGTCAAAATGACCCATGAGACCTCATGAGTCATTTTGACCCCAGAGCAGCAGAGTTTTGCATGAGTAAAAGACTTTGTGGAAAGCATTCATTGCTGCAAGTTGGTCTTATAAACAAAAAGTTACGTGTTTTCAGGTAGTTTACACTAATCTGCAGGCCAGCGGTCACTCTTTCAGAGATGAGGATGTTCTCATTCTTGATAGAGAGGAACGTTGGTTTGAGATAGGAGTAAAATAAGCCATTTTTTGAAGAAAAAAACGTCCACCATTAAACAGAGGTGGAGGCCTTCGTCTTCGGTTGTCCTCCTCCTACAATGCTGTTATTGCAAGTATGACTCAGCCCCCTGTGAGCAAAAGGTGTGAATCAGGGCCCCAACGATACCAACACAAAGAGGGAAAGAGAGACAAAACAAGGGGACATTGAACCCCGCTTGCACTAACTACATACACGTAACAAAACACCAAACAAYCACAGCCAAAGCATCCAAACTAATAAGTCAGGTGATGGGGCACATGACCCTCTTTGAACAATAGAGCTAATCAAGCCTATTGATAGTCGATGGCCCTCTTTTGCAAGTGACTAACCTGTTTGTCCATGTGGAGGCAGTGCTTATAAGGCTGAGTTCACCTGAAACTCATCAGACAGAAGAAGTCTCTTGGAGGAGAGATGAAACCTTTCACTAAAGAAGAACCCATCCAGAGGACCTACTTATTTCTTTTTGATTTTTTCTATCTGGATGACTGAGATGCATCAGGCCGTTACGTGTTTAATTTTACATCCATCTATCCAATTATCTTTTGCTTATTCTGAGTCAGGCTGTGAGTGCAGCAGCTAGAGCATGGAGTTCCAAATCGCTCTTTCCCAAGTCACCTCTTCCCGCTCTTTTGGGAGGACTCCAAGGCATTCCCGGGTCAGACAAGAGACATAGGCTCTCTAGCGTGTTCTGGATCTTCCTTGAGATCTCTTCCCAGTCGAACACGCTTGAAGCACCTACCTAGGAAGGCATCCAGGACTACCTCAACTGGCTCCTCTCAATGTGGAGRAGCGGTGGCTCTACTCTGAGTCTCTCCCGGATAACTGAACTTCTTAATCTATCTCTGAGGGAGAGTCCAGCTACGCTGCAGAGAATACTCATTTCGACCGCTTGTATAACTAATCTGGTTCTTTCGGTCACTATCCAAAGTTCGTGGCCATAGGTGAGGGTAGTAATGTAGACAGACCAGTAAACAGAGCGCTCCCTCTTCACCACAACAGACCAATACTGTGGAAACAGCATCTATCCCTCTATTAATCTCACAATCCATTCTTCCCTCACTTGTGAACAAGACCCCAAGATACTTTAACTCCTCCACTTGAAGGAGATCTTCACCCCCAACCCGGTGAGAGCAATCCATGTATTTCTGACTGAGAACCATGGACTCAGATTTGGAGGTAATGATCCTTGTCCCAGCTGCTTCATACTCGGCTGTGAACCAATCCAAATCCCTGCACAATGATGCCAACATGACCACATCATCTATAGATTAAAGAGATGGTATCTTGAGGCCACCAGACCGGATTTCCTCCTCCTCCTTGGCTGCACTGAAAAAATCTGTCCATAAAAGTTATGAACTGTTTCTTTATTTCATCAGACCTGCAGTCTTTTACTGCATCTTGCTTAGTTTGTACAGTTTATAGTCCTGTCTCACCTTCTGTCTCATGTCTGTGTCCAATCATCCTAATTTGATTATTTTTGCTTGAATAACAATTCCTTTGTGTTTGTCTGAATCTTGTTATTAACATCAGTCATACTTTCACTTTTTTGTTACTTAACTGCTTGATTTTTTCCTTATCTTCCAAGTTTTAACATCCACATATTGTGCTGCAGAAATATACAGAAATTATTGTATCTAGAAAAATCAACTCTATTAGCTGTTTATTTTTTTGTACTTCCTTTCAGTTTACATTTCTCTCATAATCACCTCATTTATCTGTAATCTACATCAAATCCTATTCCTGTTTGTCACTTTTCTCCCACTTTGACCCATTMATTTCTTCCTCCTATGCAAATACAATGCAGCCATAATGCAGCTAATTAGCTATTACAGACAGAAATGGGCGCATGTAGACCTTCTTCATCCACTTTTCTTCTTGTTATCATTTCCATCCTGTAAATCCAAGGCTACCACCTTTTACCTCCATCTGTGCCCCCATTCCACTCATTTTAGGCKTCCTATTTTCTGTCATTTTCTCTCAGATAACAAGGCTTTACCGAAGCTGAATTTAAAAGAAGGAGACAGAACAAAAATATGCTATGCGGTGATGGCATGAAAGGAGAGGTAGGAAATCATGACATAAGGATGAGGGCTGGAAGGGTGGGGAGGCCAACGGCAAAGCAAAGTGGAGAGCAAAAGAGATGATGGTGGTGATGAGGAACGAAGCTCAGGAATTGGAGGAGTGGGAGGAAATTGCCGGTAGATTGAGGAAAAGAGAGAAGGCTATCAGAAAAAGACATGGGGTTGAACCCCACTTTCCTGGTGCCAGTCATTAACCTCTTTTCTTGCAAGTGAATATTTATAGTTTTCATCTCCATACACTGTGCTTAATGCTTAATATAAATCAGTCATAATATGACACTACTAACTAGGGTGTCCTGATCTGATATCAATATTGGATATTGGTCCGATATTAGCCAAAAATGCATCTAAAATCTCTGATATTAGCAGTCCATTCCAGTGGTCTTGCTAAGGATTTCTATCCAGCAGGTCATGGATCCAGCATAAATAACTATTTTTAAAGTATATTTAGTTTTATTGGATTTAGTGAGGTAATTTTTCAGAATCTTCTATGTTATTATTTATGTTTTGTAATAAATTGTACAATATTCTTACATTTATGTTAGAAAAATATGGAACCCATTAGAATATAATAAATGGGACCAGTCACATACCTACTGTTGTTGATGMTTGTTTACTGTTTTACCTGATCAAGACTTTTTAAGGTTCCACATTATGAAAAAGGTAMTAAAAGTATGTAGGACTTGTTCTCATCGACATAGGGTTGACACTGGTATTGGTCAATACCCAAGATTGCAATATCGGCATCATACTGGAAGTAAAAAAGTTGTRTCAAGAGACCCCTACTACTAACATTCTCTTCATAATTACGTCATTTCCTATTTCTAGTTTTCAATCAAACTACTTCTATATACTTTACAATAAGTGTATTTGTGATATCAGGAATATGCGTTTTGACTTTTCTCATAGTGTGTTATTAACTTTTATACTTTCTACAATACAATATTTCATTTTATTTCAAAATATAATTCTCCAAAGAAATACACTGAGATCTTTCTGATTTCTTCAAAAACAGTGTTCTTTTTGAAATCTGCTTCAGCATACTTTCTCTATTTTGTCTTTGAATACGACTTTTAGCTTTTGCCACTTTTATATCTTGGCTAACGTTCTACCAAATTCTTTTTAAATATTATTTTACTTTTAGCTACAGTTTTGCTTTTTAGTCATTGGGTCCAAGTTTCCTAATTTTAGACTTTATTTTGGTTGTTTTAGCTCTAGCATCTGTTTTCCCACATTTGCCTGCTGTTTTTGCTAATTATACTATTTTGTTTAGCTAATTTTAGCCTCTGTTATGCTCATTTCTTTTGTTTTTTTTTAATCATCATTCAGCAGCAACATTCACACTGCAGTTTAGCAGAAAACACAATTTCTAAAGTTAAGAAATGACTTCTGGACGTCTTTAGTTTTGAAATCTGGAGGACTGCAAATAATACTGGAAAGTGGACAGAAGAAATTTTATTGCGTCATTGATGGTGTTAGGATTTTAGAGGTGGGTTTGCGTGTGTGTGGGAGGGGAGATTGGCTCTATGCTTGCTAGCGTAAAAGAGGTTAGGGGCCAGCCCATCTGGGAAGGCCTGGTAGAAAGAGATAAGTACTGGGGAAAATTCTGACTTCTCTCTGCCATATCAAATTTCCTACATTAAAACTCATTATCTATAGGAGAGGGAATGAGGGAGGAAGGGGGTGAAGCAGGAATTGAGGAACTGATGAAGGAGAGAAAGATTGGCGCGCGCGGGGGGG